CTTCATCGTCATCGTCGTCATCAGCATCACCACCACCACCACCATCATCATCCTCCTCATCATCATCAGCAGCGGCATCCGCATGAGCATCATAATCAGCATCAGCAGCAGCAGCAGCAGCAGCAGCATCACCAGCATCATCAGCATCATGGTCAACATTATCGCCATTATCATCATCATTATCAGCAGCATCATCATCAGCATCATCAGCATCAGCATCTGCATATGCGGCCGCATCAGCAGCATCATCAGCAGCAGCATCAGCAGCAGCAGAGTCATCATCAGCATCGGCAGCATCAGCATCAGCATCAGCATCAGCATCAGCATCAGCATCATCATCAGTATCATCATCAGCATCATAATCATCAGCATCATCAGCATCATCAGCATCATCAGCATCATCATCATCAGCATCATCCTCAGCAGCAGCATCATCACAATCATCTCTACCTCTCCACGCTCCTCCTCGCAAATCCTCCTCCTGCTGTCTCCCTCATCCCTCCTCACTCCTCCCCCCTCCTGCATCCTCCCCCCTCTCCTCTTTGCCCCATGACCCCCCCCCAAAAAAAATCCACCCCGACCCCCCCCCACCCCTCCAACCCTCCATCCAATCCATCTCTCCTCGTTCTTCCCCCAAGAGAAAAACTGCACAACACTGCCACCCCTTGGCGGGAAAAGACCCGAAACAGTTCTAGAGAGCACGGCAAAATTAGCTGGGCGAGAGACCCAACCATATGCAGTTGTGAGTGCCGGCGTTGCAAGCACCCAGTTGGGTAGATCTCCTTATGGGGCCACGCAGCGAGCATCGCGAGGGAACTGAAATGAATGAGGGGGGTGGCAGCAGGGGCCAATGAGGCCTTCGGTGGAGCACCCTATGGGGCCGCGAAACGTGTGAGAGGCCTCCCCCATATGGAGCCACGACACGTGTGAGGAATTCACCGAAGGTAGAATCGCATGCGGGCGTTGCAAGTGGGACCCTAATTCGAGCTCCCTGCGGGGCCATGAACCGTGTGAGGGGTGCACCGAACTGGGGGTGGAACAGCATGCGGTCGCTGCCGCTTGGGCTTTAGGTGGAGCTTCCCATGGGGCAACGAAATGTGTGAGGAGTTCGCCGACATGGAGGGTGGAACCGCGTGGGGGAGCTGCCACTGCGGCATTCGGTGGAGCTCCCTACGGGGCGACGAAACGTGTGAGGGGTGCGCCGAAGTGGGTTTGGAACCGCATGCGGGAGCTGCCACTGGGCCTTCGGTGGAGCTCCATACGGGAAGACGAAACGTGTGAGGGGTGTGCCGAAATGGAGAACCCCCTATGGGGCTACGAAGCGTGTGAAGGGTTCGCCGACATAGAGGGTGGAACCGCATGCGGGCGCTGCCACTGTGGAAATCGGTGAAGCTTCCTATGAGGGCCACGAAACGTGTGAGGGGTGTGCCGACATGGAGGGTGGAACCGCATGCGGGCGCTGCCACTGGGGCCGTCAGTGGAGTTCCCTACGGGGCCACGAAACGTGAGAGAGTTGCGCTGAAGTGGACGCGCGGAGGGCTGAGGCAGCGATGAGAGGAGGGAGAAGGGAGGAGGGGGAGGAGGAGTGAGGGAGACGCGGGGCGCTGCCTCTTCAAAACGAAGACCCAACACCACAGGATGGTTGGGAATAATAAAGAGTACTATACGAATTGGTATATCATATAGAGAACAAATCTATCTAGACAAAAAGACCACAAACAACACCGTACGGGAGAAGATACGGGAGACCATTCAGGACGGGAGATCATACGAACGAGCACACACGGGAAACGACACACAAAAGACTATGCGGGAGACCACACGGGAGACCACACGGAAAACCATGCGGGCACCCCCATACCGGCCATACCGGGAGACCACACGGGAGACCACGCGGGAACCCCTGTGTGGGAGACCATAGGGGGGACCAAACAGGAGACCATACGGGGGCCCACACGGGAGACCATACCGGGAGACCACACGGAAGAGAACGCAGGAGACCATACGGGAGACCGCACGGGAGACCGTGCACGAGACCACCCAGGCGAACAAACGGGAGACTCAACGGAATGCCACGGGAGACCACACGGGAGCCCAGGAGGGAGCCCATGCGGGACACCGCGCGGGAGAGCAAATCCGCAGACCCTGTCGGCGTGTGTGAGGGGCTTTTCCGTCATTCGTTCATTGTCGTCTCTGTGCTTCTTTTCCCTGCGCATTATTTTCCCTGTGCCCGGCGCCGCCCCTATCTCCTTTCCTGGGCTCTCCTCCTCAATCGCGTCAGCCAAAGCGAAATTGAGCAACGTCGTCATACACTCGACGGGAAGCCTCCATTCTATGATCCCTCCCCCGCCAGAACGAGGGGGGGTCCTGGGCGGGGGCCCAAGTCCGGACCCGGGTCTGGACCTGGGGGGGTCCTGGGTCAGATGCGCTTCCCCTCGGGGGGCTCCCAGGACACAGAAAAGCTTCAAGACGGGCCAAGAGTGCTTCAAAAGCTCTCAAGGATAGTTCACTAGGGGCCCGAATTGCCGAACGATCTGTCCAAGACGCCTGGGCGGCCTCCTGACAGCCCAAGAATCCTGCAAGACGCTCAAAAAGACCTCCAGGAGCAACCCCAAGGGCGCCTCGAAAAAACAAAAACCGTCGATTGCCCTTCGGTTTTGGGATGATTTCGGCGTTCTCGCCTCTCCCCGACGCTCCAAGACGGCACAAGCGGCCTCCCAGATCGCCCCCATGCAGCCCAAAAGGGCTCCACGAGCGACCCAAAACGGCCCAAGAGAGTCGTCCCAAGACGGCCCAAGACGCCTCCCAAAGGGCCCCAGAAGCACCCAAGACGGTTCCAAGACGGTGCCGAGACGACGGACCAAGCCGGATATTTCGAGCCCTCCGCCCCGAGTGCCCCCAGGAGAAACCAGGAGGCCCCCAAAAGGCCCCCGAGAAACCCCGAAGAGACCCAAAGATGGCCCCGAGAGGCACCAACAGGCCCCCAAGAGGCTCCCAAGAACCCTATACTGTCCCCCGAAACCCCAGATAGCGTTTCGACCAGACCTTCAGAAGCATTCCTGAGGACTCTGACCCACGTCAGCGTCGTCGTCGTCGGCAGCCCGACGGTGTATACACGGTAAAATGGTTGCCGCGCTGCCCGTTTGTTTTGATGGAGACACACATTACCCTCATCCTGGATCTTCCGCCATCCAGCTCCTCATCCCTCCTCCTCTTCCTCCTCCTCCTCCTCCTCCTAATCCCACCAGCCCTCTGGGCGTAGAAGGAAGGAAGGAAGGAAGGAAGGAAGGAAGGAAGGAAGGAAACGCTGCGGGAGTGCCCCGCGCCCGTGCCTACGGAGGCGCCGGGCTCGCTAGCCTCGTGGAAATCATTATTGCCAGCGCTTGCGGGGGCGCCCGGTCAGTCGGACACCTTCAAGTTTCCAATCAACCAATATCTTCGACCACCGCCGGTCTCCGCACTGAACGACTTTGTCACGCAATCTGTCTTTCCGGCCCCGTTGCTGCTCTATCCAACCCAGAATGCCAAACTTCTGGAAATGGCACTCGGCTCTGCGAGTTTCACGTTGGATCCACTGAACCCAAGATTCGATTTGGACGCCCTCTGGGCGTAGGTGGTTTAGAAAGTTTCCTCATCCCCCCTTTGTTCCCCTTCGGGGGGGGGGTCATCACTGTTCCCTATTAATATACACCCCCTCCCCCGGGCGACTGGGAGCCAACCCAAGTCCATGCGGGCACCCCCCCACCATCCCTTATAACAAAGAAAACAAAACACACTCTGCCCCCACCATCCCTTGTAAAAAACACGACAAAACACTATATGTTTCCAAATTCGGAGCATGCGCAGCGAACCCGATGCGACCTCCCCCAAACATCCCTGTCAAAAAAACAATACAAAATACACTTGGCGGCGGCGGCGGCTGCGGCGGGGGCGGCGGCTGCGGCGGCTGCGGCGGTGGCATCGGCGGGGGTGGCGGCGGCGGCAGCGGCGCCGGCGGCGGCGGCGGCGGCGGCGGTGGCGGCGGCGGCGGCAGCGGTGGCGGCAGCGGGCGGCAGCGGCTGCGGCGGCGGCGGCGGCGGGCAGCGCGGTGGCGGCGGCAACGGCGGACAGCGGCGGCGGCGGCGGCGGCGCGGCGCCGGCGCCGGCGGCGGGCGGCGGCGGCGGCGGCGGAAGCGGCGGCGGCGGCGGCGGCGGCGGCGGATTGGCCCCC